TTTCAAGTGTGTTATGATATTTTTGATAGTAATATATTAAAATCATCTAAAAATACTTGAAAAAAAACATCAAATACTTTACCAAACACAATCTTACTAGTTACACCACCAAAGTTACTTTTGACCAAAACTCACCAATCTTACTAGTCCACAAGTGTGTCAGACTATCATAAGGCTAGAGCTGAAGGCCGGTAAACTTGAATTTGTTCCCCAACTATAAACTTGTTCTCAATGCAGTCCCCAAATTATTATTCTTTTTTCAATTTGGTTCTTAACGTTTCACGTATTAATTTCTCAGTTGATTCTTTCATTTAAAATCTTCTCGTTTTCTTTTAATGAAAATGCCAAAAATATTTCCTCTCTGTGTGTCCAGGACCCCAATCAGATTGAAAATGCATATTGAAAATCGAGCTACTGATATTAATTATATGTGTAACTTATCTTTTTTAATAACCTAACGTACGGCCTTTGCTTATTGATGGAGATAAATTCAGCCAGAAATATTTTAACTTCACCATAATTTTTTTGGTACATTAATTCTTCACGTACAGCTTCCTATATTTGTGCTTTATTTTTATTTTTATAAGAGATTTGCATTCTTCGTTCACAGTCTTGGGTGAGCTTATCATTAGCATTGAAAACCGTAATACCCGACCAAGACCGATATTGTTAACGTTGGGCTAGTGTATTTCTTGGAATTTTTTTTAATGTAAAAACATAAATAGACATCATTTCTTTATTGTCTTTTGATCTTTGGCTCCAAATTGATGGAGAGAGTGGCTGAAATTTGAAAAGGAGAAAGGAGGAGAAAAAGTAATTGAAGCACCTCTATCCAGTTATGGATGGAGCTGATTTGTGCACTATGTAGTATTTGATTTCAAATGATTTAAAGTTTCAACTAGTTTGTTTTTTGCACTATGCAATGAGTCGAGTAGAATCAAATTATTTAAATTTGATATACTACGTTATGTTGCAGATTTTCTAAAATATATCAAATTAAAAATATATAAATATCAAATTTAATAATTTTTTAATCAAAATTTTGTATTTAATTTATTATTTTTATGTTTTTTCATAAATTTTCAATTGGAAAAACATGATTAGTTATTTTGTATGTATTGATTCTTAAATAAAAACATGCAATAATCTAAATATTTTTTCCATAAGGTTGTATTAAAAAAAGAGCTACAATTCATATAAAAAATTATTTAAAAATTAACAAATAAAAAAACTATTTTTTTCTTTTTATTTAATGATGATGAGAAGATTATTTTTTGAAAGCATGTATATAAATTCAATCATAAAATAATTAATAATATAGCATTAAAAAATGTATTTCAATAATTGGATTGTCATTTTAAAAAATTATTTTAATTATTTTATTCGAAAGAAACTAATTTTAAAATATCCAAAAGAAAAAAATTCATTTCTAATCTTTAGGGTATATATATATATATATATATATATATATATATAATATATATAATTAAAAAATATTGAAATTATATTATATACATTTAGAAATAAAATAAGAAAAAATAGGAAGTAGATTTTTTTATATTCTTAAATTGATCCTACCAAACTAAAGTGTGATTAGCACATAAATAAAATTATAGAAGACAAATTTAAACATTTTGTGTTAAGTCTTCTAATTTTAAAATTTAGTATCAAATGTAGTTTTAGATTTAGCATATATAAAATGTTTAAAAAAAATAATTAGTTCTAATAAAAATATTTTTAAATTTTATTTATGTTAATTTTTTTGTAAAATTTTGATCGATTGTTTCAGAAAAACATATACCTCATATTGTACTTTTACTAAGGAAAAAAAACCTAATTTTACATTATATATAAAAATAATTAAAATAAAATATAAGAATTTTATCATATTTTTATTTTATTAAAACCAGATAAAATATAATGTGTAAATACAAAAGCATGATTTGTATGACATGTATGCAGGAACAAAAGAAAAAGAAAAAAACACATACACGGACATTTACCCTTGACAATAGTCGAAGTTAAATAAGACATAATATTTTTGCATTGATCCCATGACAAAGTAGATCCATATGGCAGTACATATTAAAATCGGAAGGCCTATCACCATAGCCAAAAGTAAGCAAAAATTGGTGAAACATCAATCAAATTATTATTGTTGTTGTTAATTTTCTTGTCGGCTGCTTTTAGGTTCTCCAAACAAAAATGGAAAACATTGTTGTTGCAGTGTTTAACGGCATATTCCAAATTTCCATTACAATTTGTTATATTTATTCATGAAACTGAGCTCTATATGGTTTCATATCTATATGTATCGGTCTTATATATATATAATGAAAATTTTTAATAACTTTGTATATTAATCAAGAATAAATTTATATATTTTTTAAAGTACATCGAACTTTTTTTTAGTTCAGCATTAAATATATCTTTGGATCAGTTTTTGTGCATATCAAGATTAATTTCTTTTTGGATATGATTAAGAGGCACTTTCTAACGCACGACTTTAGATATTCTAAAATTAAATTTTCAGAAGTGATAATCATAAATATCAAATTTTGAATCGACTTACAAATCAATATTTGTTTACCAACGAACTATCGCCCGGTGATTACATCAACACCTTATCACTCCTAGCTGGATCTCTTCTTGTCTTGAGATTAAACTGTCATAATTCATAAACTAAACTATAGCACACATATACTTTAGCGCACACACACATATATAACAAACTAAACTATAGCACACATATACTTTAACACGCACACGCATATATATATAAGTTTAAGGAGTAAAAGATAAAAGCTGTTTCGGAGAAAAAAAGAATCGGATTAGTATTATCATAATAAGAGAAAAGCTTTTTTGGTGCGCAACTTTTGATATTTTTTTCTTTTTCTGTTTTGGTAACCAAATGTTGATTCTTTATAATTTGTTACCTAAGTTTTGATTTTTTATTTGTTTTGGTGTCCGAATTCACTCGAAATCTAATTTTGCTCGACATGTCTAGCAAAATCTACCATGTGATAGTAAAGAATGCCAAATGCTAGTCAACCCCGCACGTCATCACCTCATACTCTTATATAGTTATAAGCACTTAAATGGACAAAAAATCAAAGGTTAGACATTGAAACAGAAAAAAAAAATATTAAAGATTGGGTGCAAAAAAATGCATTTTTTTTAAAGAAATTTATTGCTTCGAGATTGCAAATTTTGTCCAATAATTTCTAATAAATATTTTTCATATCATGCTTATGGCATTTTTTTACTTATCAATGGTAATTTTTAGTACTCTGTATAAGTTAAAAATTACATTTTAAAAATTCAAAACCCTTTTACATCTCTAGATAAATTTAAAATTATATCATTTAATCCAAATATATATAAGGTCCAATTAAGATTAAATTTAGAAAAATGAAAGACATATAAGATTCAATTATGATTGCCATTTACGAAATAAATAGTTGGTCGATGGAGCAAGTTACAAAAAATAAAAATTGTTTTCCCTATTTAGGAAGAAAATTTACCAATATATCATGAGTGATATAAGCTTTCTATAGCCAATAATTTGCTGAACTCTTTAAAATAAGTCGAGACGAAATAAAATCGACATAAATAAGTTTAGTAATCAAACTTTTTGATTTGAGCGTTTAAAATGTAATATTTTTTGTAGCGATGATAATAATGATAGAGGTAATAAGTAAATTGTGAATTAAACTAAAAATTAAATTTATTGTTAAAATTACTTGTGCAATTAGCATAATAACAAGAAAATATGCATGCATGTAATTGTTGGTATTTTTAAAATTTAAAATCATATGACTTTTAATATCAAAATGAAATTTTTGAGAGATAATATATGTGTGTGTGTGTGTGTGTGTGTGTGTGTGGAGGAATAAGAAATGCATAAAATCTATTTATAATAAAGAAAAGATATATCAAAGTATTAGAAGAGGATAGACATTTGATGTGAAAAAACTAAAATAAATTTCTTGAAAAAACTATTTTTTAGTTGTCCAATTATTGATAATTTTTTTGCTATTTAGGAGCTCAATCTTTAATTTTTTTTGGTTTCAATGCCTAACCTTTGATTTTTTTTTTTTTTGAATGTTTATAGCTATCCGAGAGTATGGAGTATTAATGTGACAGTGTTGACTATCATGTGATATTTTTTTACTGCCATATAACAGATTTCGTCGGACACGTCAGCAAAACCAGAGCTTAGGTGAACTCAAACACCCAAAATAATAATAATAATAATCAAAGCTTGGGTAACAAAACATGAGAAATCAATTATTGGATACCAAAATAAAATAAAATAAAATTGAGCACCAAAAAAACCTCTTTCCCTTACGATAACAATGTTTGATAATCTGTTTGAATTGTATTTAAAATATTTTTCAAATGTTTTTGGATAATTTTGATATGTTAACGTTAAAAATAGCAAGAATATCTGAAAAAACATTACATTTGATGCTATTAACATTTTCACAAAAAAAATAGCATTATCGAATCGGTTAAAAGAGGTTGGGTAAGGCCAATTACGAATGTTGATGAACTGGCCACGAACTAATTAGACGGACATGATGAGCTGGTTTCAAGAATGCCGAATCCAACGGCTACTATTTCCTACTCCAACTGTGGCATTCATGTCGCCATTAATGAGGTTACAGCTGTAGTTTCAGCCATGTATTATTGTTACTTACAGTTGAGAGGGAGAGAGAGAAAGAGCACTAGAGCAACTTGCGTCCTGATGCTGTTACGTTGTGTTCTTCACAGCTCACTATATATAAATAAATAAATTAATTAATTAATAATGAATTATAGGTGTAATTATTTTAGTGAATTTATATGCGATGTGTTGTGTGTGATCGACAATCAAAGTATATATAAAGGGTGTAAACACACAAAACTAGGCCAACCAGAGGGAGCCACATAGAGGTTGAAACAAGAGTTTCTAGTTCTGCTGCTGAGTCTAATTCTGTGGCTTTTGTCTGACTTCAATGGCTTCTGTTGATGCAATACTCAACCAGCTCTTTCTCTTCTTCCTTCTATGGCTTTGTACTCTCTCTTCTTCTCAAGGTTCTTCCTACCTTGTAGCTTATCATGCCTATCTCCCTCCCTACATGCATCTTTAGTTTACTGTCTCTCCACCTCTCTTAATTCTTTTTGTTTCTACTTTATTCCATAAAAATTCTTTTGGTCCAGAGATCATCAATCTTCTCTAGCTAGTTAATATTAATATCAATTTACATATGAAAATGAGCTCCAGTTTCAGTGGTTTTTCACCATCTTGGCTTAGAGAAAGTTCCCAATGTTTATTTTCTTTAAACCTAGCATGCATGGCATGGATCGATGTTTGATTCATCCACCATTGTATTTTTCATGCTTGTAAGAATATATATCTTGTTAGTACAATATACAGAAAATTTGGATCATATGCTTCATTCTTGTAGTTTTCTATCCTTGTTTCCAAAATGTGAAAAACGATTGTGATTCATTCCATAAATCTCACCATATATATCTTCTAGTTCTTCTTCGAGAGCATCAATCAAGGGAAGTGACCTTGGGAATGGTGGCTGAAATATTTTTCATGTTTTACAGCTTAGACGGGTTGATGGGGTAGTTGGTTGTGACAAGTGAGTGCATTTAGTTTCTCATAAATGTCACCCTCTGATAGCTGTGGGAAGTGTAGTGCGTATGTATCATAGGATCACCAACGTGTTATTAAAGGAAGAACTTTTTTTTTTTTTCAATTTTATATTTTTTGATGCATGTGTTAAGGTGACTAGAAAAATTGGGCAGTGAATTTCTCTGATTGACATCAAAATTGTGTTGCAATGCAGCTGGGCACCATTACTCTGAATTTAGGTACCCGTTTATCAAGAAAGCAAGCTCATTCTTGTCATCGTCATCCTTCTCATCAAGTGGTGTCGGAGATCATGCATATGACTATATAGTTGTTGGAGGTGGCACGGCTGGGTGTCCTTTAGCTGCCACGCTCTCTCAAAAGTTCAAGGTTTTATTGCTTGAAAGAGGTGGAGTGCCTTTTGCCAACGCAAATGTCTCTTTCTTAAACAACTTCCACATTACCCTTGCTGATACGTCATCAACTTCTGCTTCTCAATACTTCATTTCTACCGACGGAGTCCTCAATTCTAGGGCTAGAGTTTTGGGTGGCGGTACTTGCATAAATGCAGGGTTCTACACTAGAGCAAGCACCAGGTAGGTTTGGAATCGCTTGCCTTTCTTTTTTCCTCGCAGATAAGACAACTACTTTGTCATAACTGTTTTTTTTCTAAAAAATGTTTTTAATGAATATTCATTCACTCCGTGAACTTGCATGAAATCTCACATGAAGCTGTTTTAATGCCAGAAGAAGTTAGTTGTAGTTCTGAGGCAAGGAATGCTCGATGAGTTAAATATTAAGGCATAGCTAGTTGGAAAATTTTAGTAAAATAGAAAGGAATTTTAAGAAAAAGGAATACTCGAGTAAGTTGCTATTTCCAGGAAGCATAAATGCGGTCATTAAGAGAAACAACCTGCAAAAAGCTTAAGACATATATATATATATATATTTCAAAAGAAAAAAAGGGTTTTTTGAAATTCGAATATATTGATTTTTGTTTTGTTTTGTTTTGGGTACGTTTTAAACAAGAAAGAGAGATGAAAAGTGTTTTTTCTCAAACGTGAAAAGGAACCCTGTACGATCAGAACATTATCCTTAGCGGATGACTTTTGTAAGGATGGGTTAAGACGTTTTTCTGCTTGGATTAGATGTTGATGGCCCAAAATAAAAAGCGACACCATAGCCATTATATGTTCTTTGAAATTAACATAGCTGTCAAGGTCCCACAGCAGGACTCGATCTGGGGTCATATATGCAAAAAGTCAAGCAAATCGGAAGGTCACAATTCAACAGTTGGGAATCATTTATTAGGATTCTAATAACCATTGTCATAGTACGGACCATGGTATAGCTGAGCATTTATGTTTCTTGCCTCTCAACAAATAAGTTAGTCTGCCCGTAATCAAACTAGTTTGAGACAAATTTTTTACTAATTTTTTATTAATATATAAGATTCAAATTTTAGAATTGAAATCGTTAAAAAAAACTATTCTAGTTCCAGCAAAAATTAATCTCATTTTTTAATATGAAATGAGAATAGCTATGGAGAGCAATAAACAAATAAATAAAATAATGGAGTTAGTTTTTTTTAATTAAATTCTGTTTTCAATTTAATTTCAAAGTTCGTTGTGGTCCACTCCTTTCCTATGGGATTGAATAGGTGAGAGTTTAGCAGTCATTCAATATGACATTTATTTTGACCCATTAAAACAAATGGTCCAAATTGAATGCACAAACGAAGACTGTGACAGCTCCCTTTGAATGCCATTAGTCCACCACAAGTAGTCTTTTTTCTCTGGTTATGCCACCTAATATAGCTGTTAAAGCTAGCCTTAAAGGTGTGAAATTTGTTAGGGTTAACTTTTAATTAATCTCACTTATTACTTATAACTAAGCATTCAAGCATTTGTTGTTTTTTGTATGCAAGCAGCAATGTGAATATTTTTAGAAGGAAATGGCAGTTCTAGTCCTGAAATATTTCATTTTAGTTAGAGAAATATGAATAATTTTTAATCACATAACTTGGAATCCGCGACTTGTTGAAGAAATTGTTTCATGCAGGTTTATAAACAAAGTGGGTTGGGATGAAGAGTTGGTGAATAAGTCGTACCCATGGGTTGAGAAGCAAATTGTTCACAGGCCTAAGGTTGCACGATGGCAGGTTGCTGTAAGGGACAGTCTTTTGGATCTTGGAGTGGCACCTTTCAATGGATTTACTTACGATCACATTTATGGAACCAAGTTTGGTGGTACCATTTTTGACAGGTTCGGCCGCCGGCACACGGCTGCCGAACTGCTTGCTTCTGCGAACCCTCAGAAGCTTACTGTGTTGGTGCATGCCACGGTCCAAAAGGTTTTGTTTGATACATCAGGTATTTTTAACAGCTTAAGTTGCAATGTTATGTAAAAATGTAAACTACTGAATACCGATACTTATGATTTATGAGCTCGTAATGTTTAACACAGGAAAGCGACCAAAAGCAGTAGGAGTCCTCTTCAAAGATGAAAATGGAAACACGCATCAAGCATTCCTATCAGACAGCCAGAGGAGTGAAATAATGTTGTCATGTGGAGCCATTGGCACACCTCAGATGCTGTTGCTCAGTGGTGTAGGGCCAAAAGCTGAACTTGAGGAGAACAAAATTTCAGTAGTACTCAACAGCAAGTTTGTCGGGGAAGGCATGGCTGATAATCCCATGAACACAATTTTTGTTCCCTCTAAAAGACCAGTACGTCAATCCCTAATACAAACTGTAGGGATTACCAAGATGGGTGTGTACATTGAAGCTAGCAGTGGATTTGGGCAATCCAAGGATAGCATTCGGTGTCACCATGGAATAATGTCCGCAGAGGTAAGAAACATTTCAACTTATATCCACCAACATATCAGAAAAATTTCAACTTATATGCACCAACATATCCTTCGTGATACTTGAGACAGATAGGGCAGGACTTGAACCTGATTCCTACCTTCTGTTCTTTCTCTTGCTATGCAGAGGAGGGCACCATTAGTCACCAAAATATATATGCACTTCTGCTGATGTGCAGAACTTATTGGGAGGTATAATTATGTTGTGATGTAACTCCTTTGAACAATGATTTTTCTATAACCAGATAGGGCAACTATCGACCATACCTCCAAAGCAAAGAACACCAGAGGCCATCCAAGCCTACATTAAAAGAAAGAAGGACATACCACGTGAGGCATTCAGAGGAGGTTTCATTCTTGAAAAGATTGCCGACCCCATTTCCACGGGCCAGCTCAGGTTGATCAACACAAACGTTGAAGATAACCCTTCTGTTACCTTCAACTACTTTAAGCATCCACGTGATCTACAGCGCTGTGTTGATGGTATTCGCATCGCTACAAAGATGGTGCAATCAAAACACTTCACAAATTTCACGCAATGTGACAAGCAGACCACAGACAAGATCCTTAACATGAGTGTCATTGCTAATGTTAACCTTATACCAAAGCATACCAATGACACCAAGTCGCTAGAGCAGTTCTGCAAAGACACCGTAATCACAATTTGGCACTATCATGGTGGGTGTCATGTTGGCAAGGTGGTGAACCGCGAGTACAAAGTTCTTGGTGTGAACAGGCTTCGCATTGTGGATGGCTCGGTATTTAATGAATCTCCTGGGACTAATCCTCAAGGCACCGTCCTGATGATGGGCAGGTAGGATCCTAAAAACCGTCCTTAAATTCAGAAAGTGGTTCTAAGTAGCGCTCTTTGCTTGCAAGAACACAAGAGTAATCAGCTGTTTTTACAAAAAAATGCTTTGTTTCTTGTGATATGCAGGTACATGGGACTGAAAATTTTGAGAGACAGACTAGGAAAAGCAGCTGGTGTTTAAGGGCTGATCAATCAACCAGGAGCATGAGAGGAGCAATATTAGTTTGTGTAGTGCAAAATGTAAGGTAGCTATTTATATTTTATTCTTAATTAGCAAGCAGTTTGTTATGTGTAGAAATCGCTTGCTATTTGGAAATCATATGTTTCCATAAAGTTTGTGTCCTTAATCTATAGTAGTGACTCTGCCCCTTTTGTTTGTGAACATCTTGAATCTAATCTTTAAGGTTCTTTTGCTGAAAAAAAGGGAATAAAATCAAAACCTCACTTCAGCTTATCAAATTAACATTAGGTTAGGTTGAGTTGAGGCCGTTTCTCTTATCGAGTCTCCTACTCATAATATTGTTTAGGATTTTTTACGTGCCTTCCTGTGTGTCATGTATAACCTCAACGCTCTGGGTTTTCCTATTCTCGTTGCTTGTACGCATAGCAGCAGCTTAATTGAAAGAAAATCTATACAGGGAGTTATTTTCTGTCACAAATCTATTCTCATTGTGAAGATTCTGCTCTCTCTATGTTGTCAAAAATAGTCTCCACTTGCTCGGTGATTGGGCTGTTATTATCCTCCTTTCCTTTGGTATAGCCACATGTCTGTGTCTTGCTCTTTTGGATTTTCTTACTAAAAGTGCCTAACGTCATTTTCGTCAAAAAAAATAAAAATAAAAAAAGAGTTGCAGCCAATTGAAATGGCCTGCCGATACTATAATTTGGACAGAAGACTTCACTATCGTTTGATAACGATTTCTTTAATACTATAGTTAAGGTTGGTGGCCATTGTGTGGATGTATGGAGAGTTACTTAGGTGGAAAGAAGTTGTGAATATGGCCAAGAAAGCTCCGCTTGGCCCATCTAAAAAACATCAAGAAGGTCGCATGATCACTAGCTAGCTCCTTTGGATCAGTTCAATAATTAATAGTTGATACTTCATTAATGCAGTTGAAACGCGTAAAAAAAGCTCTCAACCTTCTATAAAATGAGAGGCTATCATTCGTGGGCTTTAGACTATCACAGGATCCACCAAAATGCCAACATAAAAGCAATTGACACAGCTACAGGCTCCCAGGATAGGAAAGATAATGGGAAACCTAAATCTCATCGCCTTCGCAGCTTTAAGATATTGTTGTCACAGCTTTTCAAAGTCCATGTAGTTGGAATCATTTGCAAATAATTGATAGAGCCTACCTTCCAAGTAGCAACACAGGTAGGTGAACTTGTGCATCTTATGACTGATGACAGTACTGTATCTGCTAGCTGGTGTTGGCTGTTTCTTCTGCAATTGGACCATGGTAGTGGATGAGGATTGATGCAGAGTTAGGTTTAAATAAATTATAAAACCAACCAAGAAATCCAGCTTTGCATTAATGTGAAATAAGTATTACGAATATGGTCCTCGATCCAAGACAGTTGAAGCTACTTCTTTCTGCCGCAAATGATAGTAAATGAACTTATCGGAGACTATGAATTGATTTCATTTTAACTCTCCTGCTTTCTCTAGCTTTGGTGATTGATTGAAGTTACTGTGTTATTAGCTATCAAGCAAGCACATGAAATCAAGTAGCATATACGAATCTGGCAAGCTGGACCCCTTCCGGTAGACCATCTCAGATACATTAAAGCCAATGACATTGATGCTTGTTCCTTTGTTAATGGATCCCTCCCAGGCAGTGGAAGCTCTTCCAAGATGCCAGGTCATTTTTCATGATTAATTAAAACACAGTGAAAGGATACATACACAGGAAATTTTGTATTGCAGAAAAAATGGAACCCAGAAAAGCTGGGAATGCATTGCTCAGAAACCAGTGACAAAAAAACCAATATTTACAATAAGGTCATGTGTTAGATCCCATTGTGCTAATGGTTTCATAATTTAATCTGAAAAGCACAAAAGGTTCAACTTCATTGCTGGTTTTCAAGCTTCGATGACATTCAATATAGAAAAATCTATGTGGAGTCTTCTCAAGCTCTTCACAAGATGCATAGGACTGCATCTTACATCTGCTGTCGTTTAGTAAAGGAAGCCCCACTTAAGCACTGGGAAAGAGCCTACTGGATTTGTACTACTTGACTGGTTCACGGCCATAATTTAAGAGAAACTCCATGCTCACTCATACTACCTGTGGACAAACTTTTTAATCTCTGCCAGAACTGCCTTCTTCTTCCTGTTCTCAAAGGCCCTGAACTAGAAGGTCTCCTAAAGGACCCAAATTCTTGACCCTCAAGTCCCGTAGATGTCGTCAACAAATCAGATGTCGATAATGGTACAGGGTGATGGGGATGTGAACTTTCTATGATCTCACCTGCAACTTTTTCATCCTTTCTATCTAAATCAATCATAAGATCCTCGTGGCTGCAACTTCTTGACCTCTGCACTTTTGCTTCATCAAACTCATTGCAAACAAGCTTCAAGGCCTGAACTACTTCACCCATAAAAGGACGGTGAGAAACTTCTGGCTGCACACACATTGATGCAATTGCTGCTACTTTGGCAATGGTATCAAATGAGACAGAGGACTTCATAGCTGGGTCTATTATCACTTCTAAACCCTCCTTGCATGTGAGAAGCGGACGAGCGTAAGCAACAAGATTTTCTTGACCTGGTGGTTGAGACAAATCTACGGGTTTTCTTCCAGTTAAGAGCTCAAGGAGGACTACACCATAGCTGTAAACATCACTCTTCACAAGAAGATGACCCGTCATTGCATATTCTGGTGCCAAATAACTGGTAACAAAAATTAGCACATGATAAGATAAGCGTTTAAGTTGCAAAACCGTACTGAAAAATTAAAGCAATAACCTGAAGGATGCCTCAATCCATCAATCTACTCTCTTAACAGCCAATAGGATATGTAAAGATAAACTATAGAGTAAATTATACCCAAAAGTTCCCATAACATGCGTTGATATATGTTTATTTCCCTCATCCACTGCTGCCCTAGCCAAACCAAAATCTGAAACTTTAGGTGTAAAATCATGTTCCAGCAGTATGTTGCTAGATTTGAAGTCTCGATGTATAACACGAGGGCTTGAGTCTTCGTGCAAATATGCTAGGCCGCGAGCTGCACCGAGGGCAATCTTCATCCGGTAATCCCAGTCAAGTGGACCTGTTTCCTTGTCAACTCCTATAAGCACAGAAAAAAGGGCACAATGAAAAACCGTTTCTTCAAGAAATCAATGATCTAGACATACAAATATCAAACACTTGGAAACAAATACAGAAATATTTCAGGTTTTTACCCACCATGTAAATGCGATTCAACACTTCCATTTGGAATAAGTTCATACACTAGGCAACGGGTATGGCCCTCTGTGCAAATACCAATCAATTTAACTAGGTTCCTGTGATGCAGACGGCTGAGCATCTCAACTTCTGCCAAGAACTCACGGCCACCATGCTGGTCATCTCTCTTTAAGATCTTCACAGCCACTTCCCTTCCATCATCTAACAAGCCACTATAGACAAGCCCAAACCCACCTTCTCCAAGGATTCTTGAAGCATCAAAGCTATTGGTGGCTCTCTCTATGTCATTCAAAGTGTATGTCTTTGCAGATCCCGTATATGTCATTGCCCCAGAGCTAAGGGAGACAGATTCAGAACTGGGCATACTTCCAAAAATAACAGGCCCAGTAGTCCCTGCCGAGTTTAAACAGAAATCTATAAACTTCATGACTTAAGTAGTGCATAGCTTTAGGGCATTCTAGAACAATTTGTATACGATGGTCAAAATTTCTGTACCTGATGCTTTTACTGGTGAGGACACTAATTCTTGTGGAACTTGTTGAGATTCATGAACCTGAGTTCCACATTTCAACTGCAAAAGCCAAGCAATTGCCATACATATAACCAAGACAGTGAAAGAAGAGAGAACTATTACAGCTATCATGCTTCCACCAAGCCCATGTTTTTTTCTCCTGTGCACATAAACTGCGAAAGGCTTATTTGTCGTTCTATTGTTATCATGGCCAGTATGTGGTCCATCATCTCCAGTAGAAATGCTCACAGGAGAAGGTGGAGAGGGTGGAAGACCTGCAGGTCATAAGAGATTCAGAAGTAAAAACCCAAGAAAAGTATGGAGTCTAAATGAGTAACTAGTTCTTTGTTTTTTTTTTTTCTTTTCTTTTCCTTTGAACCACAGGGAAGATCAATAACTCCTATATGCCAACTGCATTTCAAACTGGCTTGTAGTTTTTTACATCGTCAAAACAAGAGGTGCCGAGCAAACATTCAGAGTTATTCTTGAAATCACTATAAAATGGCCTCAAATGAGCAGCCCTCAGAACAAGTAGAAAGTGCTGAGTTGAAGTTTGGCAAAGGTTAAGTTTCCCTTGAAATTTCCAAAAAAGAATTTCAGGAATGTTGAAAAAATAACCTGGATAGTGGACGTATAATACTTCGTAGGCACCAAAGAGGGAAGGCTTTATGAGAACCTGTCTGTTCCAAAATTTCTTGTAGATTGCAAATGCAGAAGAATCATTAAATTTTACACCTCGTGGAACAAGGTTGATGAGAACAGTGCTTTTCTCTAGCTCCTGACTAGCTGCATTTGCTCCCATGATGCGGACTTGGCTGTGGTTTAGTTCAACACTTGCTGAAATTTCCTCGGCTAGCTCAGTAACCAAAGTGAAGAATGTGAATATTGCGACACTAAAACGGAGTTGAACTTGAATTGGCCACACACATCCGCAAGGTGATCCAGCAGGCGTATATGTTAATGGATCAGTGCACGTTAGAGACGTACAATCTGCAAAAACGTCTAGCGATAAGTACATACTTGATATGCCAAATCTTAAATGATTGCATAATGATATAGTATAGTGTGGCAAGAGGTGAGTGTATATTTTTTACCTTCATTAGGAGGTGGAGGTGGCAGATTCAGAATCTGTAATGGTGGTGGAGCCTTCATCTTCTTCGAGGATGAATCTAGAGGAGACATTGTAGGTGGATGAGTGCGCACTTGCAGACAAAACATGATCACAGTGAGGTATTTGTAAGCAATCACCATAATGAAGTGACAGATTACAAGATTAAACCAAATACTTAAAAAGTGAGGCTCCCATACTGTTAAAATTGCTTGCTGGTGACAAGGCAGGTACAGGAGAACCCCAGCTCATTGATGGAGATGGAGAGGCAGAGGGGCCTAAATATTCACAGAGAAATTTCAGCACTTACTGAGTTATTGCTCGGCTGGAAGATTAATGTAATACATTAAATAAAGTTCCTCAGGGTAGAGAATCATACCAAGATGGTTATATGCAGAGGGAGGAATCAAGTAGGATGGTTCAGGAATTTTGACATGGTTCCTTCCACGACCATGGTGTCTGTGATTTGAGATTGAAGGAGAATATGCAGGTTGATGAACCCATTTGTTTGCAGGAGTTCCAAAAGATGAGAGAGAAGGTGCGAGTGCAATACTTGAAGGCCTAATGGCATGATGTGGATGAGGGGCTACAGCAGGAAAATATATATATATTTTTTTTAATCAAATATAATCAAGGACATTGTATTCCTTGAGGTAACTTAAATCTTTTGCAAGTAGAAAAATTATGTTAGACTGGGCACTGACCTTTGGTTGGAGATTGATCCAAAGATGATGAAATGTGGGACGCTTTGTAAGTAGGTGTGACTCCTTGATTTCTATGTCTTCTCCCACTGAGGTTGGAAGGAGCTTGCTTTGAAGAGAAGGCAGGAGCTGTATCATACATACAATTTAAATAAAGATTCAATCAGCAAGAGGCATCTATGTGTTTTTTTGTGCTCCTCAAACAAATGCAAGGGTGTAGAGATGCAGCTTATTGGTATCTTCCATTATCTGAAAATATATCTTTCATTTTATAGAACAAAGATTTAGAACAGAATATTTAGAAAGACTTTCTGGCCAACTTCTTCAATATGTTATCAAAGGATCCAGGGAAAAAATCTGCATGGAAAATATTTGCTGTTTCAATTTTTAGCAAGGTACATTTGCAGGATATGAAATTTTATTCTACGATTATATTGCAATTTCCTTTTTTGATTTTTTAAATTGCTCACCTGGTTGCATGGATGGCCGTTGGCTTGCGCTGATTGGGTAAACAGTAGGGGGCATTTGAGGCAATCTCCTCGGTGATGGTGCAACTGGTACTGCAGCATCAATGAATCACTAATTCAGCATTACAATTTGAAGCACACAAAAGTGGTGTTCATCACATATGAAACAAAACGAGTGGATTTCAAGTTCGTGAAGCTAAAAGCTTCAGTAATGCATTTAATGCTACAAATGCTGTTGTAAACTCTGACAGAACGATAAAGCTGCGCAGCTTTCTAACTATAAGGTCAGATAATGGAGGACATTGGTGAGCTTATGGCTGGTTTTTGTGTGGTGTTGTAGGCAGGTAGCATATACTCGTGAAGATGCTAACAACAGCAGCTCACTGCTCAGTGCTCACCAACTGGCAGTAATAAGCAAACACAGGTGACTTCAAAACAGGGATTTCGGAATGCCAACCACTGTTCAATGGCATTTCCATAGCTGGTTGAGTAAATAATCAATCTTAACACACTGTTAAATTTTCTTCTTCTTTTTTTCCTTTATTAATGTAGTTTGCTCCAATAACCCCTGATTTTTAAAATGGTATGCAAAAGGTCAATTTCGCATGAAAAGAACTAAACAACAGAGAAATGCAAATTTTGTGGCAGGATTTATCTTTCTATTTTGTGAATTCAGCACCTGCAGACTTGCTTAGGTTGCTAATGCAAGCAAGATATGTAATCCTTGTAAGATGTACAGCAATATTTCAGGTTTCATAAAAGTTATTACAATGACTGCATAGGTGGGCTAGCTCAATAGTAGATTCTGTGCAGAAAGATTATGAAATTAGTGTAGGAAAAAGTCTGAGAAAATTCATAATTCTTGGCTTACACATCTATCTCTACTAAAAATCAATGACTCATGGAAACAATTAAATAAAATAGTTAGTACCTACAGCACTTTTTCACGTTTTGAGTTGAAAAGGAAGAAATAGAAAATTAAGGCTCATAATAAACTCATAAATTTATAAATGTTTTTAAGCTGGACCATCATGCTGGCAATAAAAAAAAAAAGCAATCGTAATTCAGTCGTGGCCATTATGTTAATTAAACTTATAACAAAAGGCAAATTCTGCACTGTTTGACCTACCCTTTTGAAAATGTGTGTGCCTCACAAACAAAAAAGTAAAGGTTCTTTCACATGTTTCACATTATTGAGTTGCTTCTACTTGTTGATCCTAGAAACAAGCAAGCTATAGAACCCAAATTCTCAAATCTAGTCCAAATTCAAAATTCAACCGAGATTAACATGTAGCGTATCAGCTAATGGCTGGATCAAACATGATTCAATGCAAGAACCAACTAAAAAAAAGTAAAGATCAAACCCCATTACCTGGAGATCCAAGAACTGACAAAGCACAAACAGTCAGACACATGATCACCAGCAAAAGAACCTCCAGCTGCATCCCCATTTTCACTTCTAAAGAGACTGAAAGATCAACTCTCACCCGACCATCCCAGTAAAAAGGAGGAGGTATTGAAAAGAAAGTGGTAAAAACTCAAACAACATTTTGAACAAGAGTAGATGGCTTAAAGGAGCAAACAACCACTCAGCGTGTCACGAGACTTTAAGAGAAAAGAAGAGACCCACATATAGTACAATATAAGTAATGAGATGACACCAAAGGTTCATGAATTAATACACACAAACAATGAGTTAGGTGACAAGAAACTTTCTAGCGTACTTCTCTTTTTTTTTAACAGCCTAATAAGAACTAAGATTGCAGAGCTTGAACTTTAAAGAATGTTTACGAACGAATAGCTGCTTTTGTTTTGTTAGCGATTAAATTATAAATTAATCCTTTTAGTTTTGATGAACGAGTTGATTAGCCTCTCTTTTTTCAAATATTATTTATTTAGTCATTTTTGTCCATTTTAAATTTTTTCTATTTTTTATAAAAAATAAATATATATTATATTAGGATTGATGAGACGATAAGATATTTCTTAAAATAAAATAACATTAAATTAACAATTATTTCTTGAAACATGAATGACTAATTAATTTGTTTTCAAAACTAGAAGGACTAATTTATAATTTACTCTTCTTCTTTTTTTTTATAGCAGAACTGGTCAAGCTGGAAACTTGTAAGAGCGAGAGGGGAAGGGAGTTCTAAGAGCTTAGTCGATGTGCGATATCATTTCATGGTTGAAAGTTATCAAGTGCTTTGAATTGTTTAATACAGGAATTGCTGACTTCTTTATTGGCTAATAGTGGCAAAATGATTATATTTAAACAATGTGTATATGGTTGTCAATGTTTTTGGCCAATGTTAGGTTTGCTTTGAATGTACCTTTGCGATTGATGCTAAATTATTGACTTTCATGGTTTGAATCTTTGAGAGGTGATTTTGCAATCAACTCTAATTAGTTTTTTTTTTCCCTCTTCTTTGGTTTTCATCTTTAATTACTCCTGTCTACGGACTAGTTTGCGTTAATCACTGATGAGGCCTATATTTATTCCAACACATATTATTAAAAAAAAATCTAAAATTATTGATTACTGTTTATTATACTATTTGGAATACTATTCGTTCAAGTTTATTTGCATTATTCATCCACATTCAGATAAGTTATTTCTTTTATAATGCAGTGACATTTTTATAGTTTTCAAACGTTTTCATGATATTTCACTTTAATTTTTTAAAAAAATATTATATTTTTAGTTTGTAAATATTTTTTATCTGATTTTGATCTTATTTTTTTTTATATTTTGATCACTTTGGTCTTTATTTTTTTTATTTTTTTAATTAAAATTTTTAAGGCAAAAAAATGTTTGGAAAAAAATAAACTTATGAAAATATAAAGAATAATTAGTCAAATATAAAATTTTGATCAAAAAATGATAAAATTGAATGAATTTTTATTTAGTTTTGATTTGATATATTTTAGTACATGCATAATATAACATGAGATATCAAAATGAAATAATTTTTTAAAAATAATTTTATATATTTTATCCGATCCGTAACGTAAGTACGAGTAAAAAAACTATTTCATAGCTAAAAAAAAATTAAAGAAAAATCAAATCCTGATATCGATCTAGTCACTCTTATGTCTATATTTAATTATTTTATATCTAATAAATATCCCATAACTCCACAATGTATATATATAAAAAGAAAAGGAGAAAGAAGAAAAGTGGATTGCACTTTTGTCGATTAATTTCCACATGGTATTATACTGAAGCACATGATTCAACTCCTGGAAACTCAAAAAATACCGTATAACTCCCCTTTTTCAAAACAAACCAATGATTATCAAGACTGTCGTAATTAGTTTCTTTGCCATTAGCCATTTTATTCAAAGACATGGGATTTGGGAAGGCTGTTATAATGCTATTACATCTCATAATGTTTAATAACCGGTAATTAGTGCTTAATTATATTGAATCAAAACAAATCACTGGACCGACAAATATTTAGACAATGACCTGATAACTAATCGATAGGTCGGAGATAAAAAAAGATTAATTAAATAAATTAAAACAAAACGATGATTTATTGTTCCAAACACTATTCACACACTAACATTTCACTATTCATTAGTTTTTTTTATACTTTGATCCTTGATATTTGTCAAAAAATATTTCGATCCACATCTTCATTTGCTCATTCATTTTGGTCCCCGAATGAGAGAGAAGGGAGGGGGAAGAGAGAGACAGAGGAGAGAGAAATCGTCGGCCAAGCTTATTTAGGCCACTATGGCTGACGAAAATCCACTAGATTTTTTTTATATTTGAGAGATGAGTTTGTTCATGATGGTTTCAAGCCATTAAATCATTAGAGGAGGTAGATCGGAGCCAAAAAAAGGAAAAAATATCCGATTTGATTTTGTATTTTTTTTTGTTTTTATGTGTATTAAAATGATTTTTAAGGTTTTAGATATGTTTATTGGCTTTATTCCGGTCATTTAGAAGTGTTTGAAAAAAAATGATGTCAAAATTCAATTTCTAAGGATCCGAAAGTTGACCCTCGATTTTTCGATAAAATTCCGATGAGCTCGGATTGGCAAGAAGTTGCAGGTTTTTTTTTCTTTTTCCAAGTGCAACCTAGTTGCCCAAACCAATCAGGCGCTTGTCCTGGTTGAGTTGTGCCAACCAAGCGCCTTTCCTAGTTGGCTTAAGTCAACCAGACGCTTTTATTTATTTGTATTTAATTTTTTTTTTTTTTGGAGTTCAGGTGCAACCTGGTTACATAAACCAACTAGCTGCTTGTCCTGATTGGTTTGTGCCAACCTGACACCTACCCCTACCCCCCCCTCCCCCCACCCTTTTTATTTTATTTTATTTTATTTTATTTGCTTCCTTCCTTCCTTCCTTTATATATTTTAGGTTTAAATTGTTTTTTTTTCCCTTCCTTACTTTATAAATTTGAGGTTTAAATATTACAAGTTTTTATTTAGGAACACCCTAAATAAAAAAATAAATCATGTTTTTTTAATTAAATAAAAAATTATAAAATTTTGAAATGATTTTGTTCTATCTACCCATTATGTTGCTTTGGATAATTTCAAAAATTAATCATCTTATCAGCATTAATTAAGAAAATTTTCTCCATTTATTAGTTTTTATAAAAGTTTATTTATTAATTATAACTTTATTTTTAATATAATATTTAAAATATATATATTTAAAAAATTTTAATTCTTAATTAATATTTTGATTAAAATCAATTCATAAAGATGAATAATTTATTTTTTAACTAAAAAAATTAAAAAACAATTAATTAAATATGATATTATAATTAAAAAAATTTTAAATAATTTTGTTCAATCAAATTCGAAGCGTAACGTGTGAAACTGACTAGTATTGTCTATTCTTATTACATTTTCAATCAAGCATGAAGCATGTGGATCTGCAGTAGAACACTGTGATTGTCGTCCCCACCTTGGACAGGAACTGTTATTCTTTAGGTACTGGTTTTTGGGATCTGTGTTGGACCTCACCTCCTTTGCTTGTTAATTTTCTCTTTCAGTTTAACTTGTAATGATAATATACGGGGAACTACATGGCCACGAGTGTGGGGTTTTTTAAGCTTAGATGTGTCGGTGAAGAAATATTAGCTTCTTTTTGCTTTGCTATTATTACACCGTCTGCTACAAAACAACAGAAGGGTTACTACATTAATTGTCGGATCAATCCAAAGATTTATTTTCTTCGTCTTCTTCTTCTTTAGATCTACCCTTTTAAGGATGTTAAAGGGTGTTTTTGTTTAGGATTGTTGGTATAGCGATCGCAATCTTTCTTCTTCTTCTTCTGTTTCTTTTGTTTTGTTTTTTGAATCTCAATATTAACTTAAATATTTCTTAATTTACCAGAAGAAAAAAAATATATGTGCTTTTCAAGAAGAGATTCACTTACGTGTGTGATTTACACAAATTATTACATAATCCAATAGCTGTTTTATTTTTATAAATCAACCGTTAGATTCAGTTATAAATTATTCATCTAAACTGTGAAAACACAATAATAGTTATATTTGAGTAAATAATTTCTAATAATTTAACCAATATTAAAAAAAAGCACATAAAGTTTTTCGATTATTAAACAGATGGTGTGTAAACTATATATACGAGTGGATTTCTCCATTTGTCTTTTAATTATAAAAATATCTTAGAATTAATTTTTACATATCAAAATCATTGACAAGAACAATTTGTGCATGACCTGTCAAGTGACCATAGGCTATCTATCAAGAACAAAATCGTAAAAATATTTTGTATTATTGTTGGAAATTCAGGTTTCTGATGGTGATACACCAAAATGACTATTCTAGAGCCATGAAAATATTACAAAACTAAATTGCATATGGTGATTTCAGTTTTGCCAAATAAATTAATTAAACCTATAAGTATATAAAAGCACAAAATCATAATAAAAAACTTGTGATTGACTATTATATCATTAAGACAATACTAACACTAAAACATACATCACTACTAATGTGTCAATCTCACCCCACCCACCCCTAATTTGGGGGTGGGGGACAAAAATAATATTTTAAAAAGAAAAAAAGAAATATTAATGCCTAAAAAATAGATTTATCTTGTTTTTCTATTTTTATACCACATAAAATCCTAAATAGCATAAAGTAAGCTTTTTAAATCAATTCCAACCTATATGATACCATTTTGGTACTTCATTTTGATCATTAAAACTCTTAAAATTCTTAAAACCACGTCAATAAAAACCAATAGTATTAAAATTCAAACATAATAAAATTATATCAAAATTCATCAAATTATTAAATTGAATTCTTAGTTATTTTTTATAGGAGAATTTTGATTATTGTCTTAAGTTAGTTTTTACTCTTTTAGATGAAATGATTCATAAAATTTGTATCGATCCTTATGACAAATTATGCTAATGTTTGTTTTTCTTCAAAAAAAAAAAACATAATTTGTCATAATC